TAAATATTTTAAAATTTTCTACTTTTTATGGGTATTCATGAATCAGTCATTACTTTCTAAATAAATCAGTTATTGTTAAGGTATAGGTTTATTTCTTCTCTTACATTTTAAAGGTTTTTACTTCTAAAGATTTTTGAAGTGAGTAAGTGTTAGTGCTGTGTATTGAGCAAGTTTTTTCAAGGTAATTTATCGATAAGTATCGGTTAAAACTTTCTTTACTGATCAGTCATTAGGTTAAGATGTATTTGATGAATGAAATTAGTATTGTTTCTACTCTAGAAATATTATATATTCAATTAACTCTTCTTAAAGTTTTGGAAGCCAATTTTTGAATGTAACTTTATCGATTATTATCGATAAATATGATCTAAATACATTAAGGGCACTAAAAGAGACCATAGATACTAAAGACATCAGTCTTAGGAAGTTATATTATATCCCAGGAGCTCCTCCAAAACAATAAAAATATAACAAGTTCGGGAGACTCTTCTTAAGGGTTTTAAAGTCAACTAGCACCCTTTAATTTATCGATTATTATCGATTAAAATATTCTAAATAGATTAAAAATAATATTAAAGGGCTTCTCAGTAGTAAGCTTAGTAATATTACTCCTCAGCACCCACTCTGTCTGTGACACCAAAAATATATCAAGCTCAGGTGACTTCCCCCGAAATCTTCAAAAGTCAAGAAGTCAGTGTCAGTATTCTGGGAAATGTAGATTTACGCTGACCTCTGCCGCTTTGGCACTGCTCCAAGTCTAGGTCTAGACTGTAGAGTCGTGTTCCAAATTTCCAACATTTGCCATACGTCGGACTAATGGACAAATAATTACGACCCGCAAACAGCATCTGGGCATCTAACGTTATCCGCTGCTGGGGCTACCGTTGCACAATTGCCGGTTGGGTTAATCCCAAAAAAAAAACCCGGGGTTGGGGTTCAGGTCGGAGTCGGTGTCGGAGTCGGTGTCGGAGTCGGGGGTCGAACAAGAAGAGCCCAGTTTAGTTTTATGGCAATTGTTTCTGTGTATTTTTTTGTTCAAACGAATAATTGCACTTACTGGCAGCTGCTTGGATATTTTATTGTACTTTCAAGATTTGTGTTCCGTTTTTTTTGGTAGTTTACCTAACTGTTTTTTTTTTTGGGGTCTTGGCAGAGGGGAAGATGTCATTTCTAACTAGAACATGGCTTAGATGACTAATTGCAGTTAGAAAAGTAGATTTTTTTAAGAAGACTAATGCTTTGTTTAAGATTTTAGGATCAGAACCCACCTAGTATACCTTGTTCTATAAAAAGCCCTCGAGTCTAAGCCTAATGGCATTTGGAACACTTGTTGGTTCTGATTCTTAGGGACCCTGGCCAGCTAATTACTTCGTTCTCCATGGCTGGCTTTGAACTCGAGGTGAGTGCCTTGATACGCCTGCTGGCTGCACTAATTCTCCAGCCTGATCCGGAGGCGCTTTGTCTTTGTCTCCCCAACAGCTGACAGTCAGTCAGTCAGTCCGGTCCAGTGCGTGGAGTGTCAATGAACGCGGCATCTAAGCATTGTTCCTCAGCACCTGTTCTTATTTGAACAAGAGAGCTTAAGCTTAAGCCCAAGGTGCTGTGACAGCTGTGGGTTAAAGTCCAGATGATTAGCAGTCCGCCCTAATGGCAGTTCTGGCCAGAATCTTGGCCATCTTAACCAGAAGATCTCTGGCAAAAATTGATTGCTCGTAAATCGTAAATCAGCAGCAAGAAAAATGGCCGAGCCATAAAAGTTCCAACAAATAAAATTGGGACAGGAAATTAAAACGTTAGCCCAGCCATCAGACCAGCAGACCAGCTGGAGCAGAAACGGTAAGCTGGCTAGCCTCTTGGCCGTATGATAAGGCCCAAATGGCCGGCCAAACATGTGGAGCGAAAAACCCAACGAGCCAGAGTCGAGCAGCTGGCCGACAAAAGGGCAGGAGAGGAAAGTTGTGGCCACAGAGATTAATAAGCGGGCCCGGATCTCAAGAGAAAGAAACCTCACGAAAAAAAAAAAGTGCAAGTAACATGTGTGTGTTGGCCAACAAAGCATTTGGCCAAGTGAAACTCTGCAAGTGGAGATGTATTTTGTACATAAAAGGTATATGCTTCAGGGCCATTTAGTGAATATTAAATAGAGGGGTGTTAGTTCCAACAATAAGTTAGGAACCCTATAATATTAGCATAGATTCTAGAATATTGGACCAATTGCAGTGAAACTTGGGAAATATGTGTATTTCGTCTTTAAAAAGCATATACTATAGTTTCATCAAGCTCCCACTTATTTTAAGGGAAATACTTCAACCCAATACTTAAGAACCCTATAATATTGACATAGATTCTAGAATGTTGGACCAATTACAGTGAACTTCAGTAAATACATGTATTTCATCTCTAAAAGGAATATACTATAGTGCCATCATACTCGTACTTATTTTAAGGGAAATACTTCCAAATAAAAATTAAGAACCCTATGACATAAGCATAGATTCTGTAATTTTTAACCATTCAAAGTGAAACTCTAGAAATATATGTATTTCATCCATAAAAATCCTAAGCTTCACTACCACCAACCTCAAATTTAATTTAAAGAAAATATTTGAAAGTATATGTTAAGAACTATACCCAATATATATATATATAAGAAACCCAATTAGCATATACTATGTAATGGTTTGCGGCTTTGCCAATTTGTAAGGCCTCTTTGTGCCAAGTACAGTTGGCCATTTAGAGGCTTTGGGGTTTGGGCCGAACACAATATTACTCATTTATGAAGTCAGCTTTATTTTCCATTTGTTTACATAGGTGTTTCTTTCCATTCAAATGTAGACTTCTTGAAGAAAACCAAAGCAAACCAAAGACAATCAAAGCTGGTGAGTATTATTATGTAAATTTTGTGGACGAGGCCTCTGATGTGTGGCTACCAGTGTGCCATTGACACTCTCTGGGGGTCTCTGGGGCCTGACAGGTTTATCATCATCGTTTTCATAATGCGCTCCCCCCCTCCCCAACTCCGACCCAACTCTAACAAATGAGTTTTGTTATATGATTCTTAGGGTCTGTGTCTACAAGACATACTGTTAGGCATTGTCTGGTTAGCTTTGGAGGAGTATGTGAGTTGCATTAACAAAGCTGGACCCCAAAATAAACCAAAGAACCTTTACGATTATATAGTATTCGTGTTCATGTGAGTCAATATTTGGTTTCTCAACTAATTATCAGTTCAGCGCACTCGGTAGTGTCAACGCTTTGCGGTTGTGTGTCTCTCGGAGTCTCACCTCGGTAATTCGAGAGTTCATTTAACTTTGCTTTTCAAATAAGGCCAGATAACCGCTTAGTTCAGTCAACAAGGAAGCATCATCGACGGAATCAGCATCAGCTGTTTCTAAAATAAAAGTTACCATTCCCCAAGTCAAGAGTTTGGGTCACCACCACCTCATTTTCTGGTGACCTTCAAGCCTACTACTGCCGCCTTTGTTTCTGTTTCTTTTTTTCTATTTTTGTTGCTGTTTGTTTCGGGCCATGTTTTAATTGCCGCTTGAACCTTGAATTTGCACACAAAGTGCTTTTGGTGGTCACCTCCACAAACTCCACAAAACACAACACTAGCTTGAAAGCTTGAGAAATGCTCGCAATTAAAGCCATAAAAATGAGTAAATGCTCTGTTTTTGGATTTCAGATTTCGGTTCCTTTGTTCGACCCCTGCCTGACACGGAGGTGCCTTAAGTATTTCCCTAATTCCGACAAATTATTACTTTGTGCAATTCTGCCTCCGACTCGACCTTAGAAAGTGGGTAACGAGCTTGCTGTTAATGCTGGGATATTAATGGTAATTATTATTAGCCATGGTACTAAGGTGCCTGGAAGCAGTCTATAAGTATTTATGATTTTGTTTCATTGTTATAATATTTTATATCTTTTCTAAAGGCTTTTATTCTACCAAAACTGATTATCCATTTCTTCAACCTTATAGGATTTGAAGAACTTTATCATAAAAGACCTAAATATCAAAAATGGCATTTCATTCAAAGCCATTATTTGAAGTTTTGTGATAGGACCCTAACCAATACCCTAAGGTATTAGTTTAAACTTTTGAATACTTGACCAATAGAAATGAAACTCTGGAAATATATCCCATTCGTTCCCAAAAAAACATATATTTTAGTTTCACAAAAATGTCATTTAATTTAAAGCCAGATATATATCTTAATTTGAAGATATATGTTAGAGAACCCTATGATATTAGCATAGATTATGCAATATTTGACCAATTAAAGTGAAACTTTGGAACATTACGGATTTCATTCCCCAAAAAGTAAATACTTTATTTCTACAAAAATCATATTTAGTATAAACGTCAATATTTCAAAATATAAGTTAAGAACCCCATGATATTAACATAGATTTAACATTTAACCCATTGAAGTGAAAATCTGTAAAAATATGTTTTTCGTCTTGTAAAAGTCATATATTTAAGTACCACAAAGTTAACTTATAAATTAAGGCCTGTATTTTAAAATAAACTTTAAGATCTCTATAATAAAACCCATATACCATCTATAATGATATTAAAATGGTAATTTACCTTTAAAAATGACTTATTTTTATTTTATAACTAAACTAAATTATAATTCATTTTTAGATTCTTAGCTATAGCTAAAAATGGTGATCAAATTCTGCAGACACTTCTACCCACCTACCTCTACCTCTATATAGTATAAGTTTTAATTTATTATTATTTTTTTTTTTGGAAGAACCGGTTTCAGAAGTATGCTAATCCAGTCTTTTATGAAATTTCATTAAATTGGCCAATTAATAACTAAAGAAATGATGATTGACACTGGATGGGGGGATGACCCTGAAAGACTGGCATTAAGACCGGATTGTGGGGACTCCCCCTGCCACCACCCTCTATCTATCAGAACCACAAATCATCTCCAAAGTCTATTGTTTCATTTGAAAACCTTAATTTATATTCAGATTTCAACACTTACGCAACCAATCCGCCCAAGAAGGCAACTGGACCGCCGCCGATGAGGCGTATCTTTCGGTGACAGGAATCGAACAGTGAGGTTCGAGTGGGGGCCTGGGATGTGGGTGACATTATGTGGTGGTGGTGGTTACCACTACTACAGTGGTTGTTGTTTATATTACTGGAACGATGTTGTTGTTGTTGTTGTTGAGTTGTTTTGCAATTGTAATTACTGATGTAGTTGTTGTTGTTACTGTTACTGTTTCTATAATGAGCCGCGTTGTTATGATTGTTAATGCAACTATTAGACAAGCTGTTGCTGCTGCCACTAGTGTTGCTGCTACTGTTGCTGTTGATGCTGCGGCAACTATCGTCGTCGTCTGTGGATGTTGCCACTGTTTTTTTTGTCTTTTTGTTGTTGCGCCTCAAAGCTGCGGCAAGATTGTAGCTACAAGTCTCTTTCTTTTTTTTATTGGCAACTATGTCTGTTGTCAGGAATAACAAACACTTGTCGCTCGAATGTTGCTGTTGCTTCTGCTTCTGCTTGTTGCAATATCCTGTTGTCTCATGTGTCGTCTCCTCCTTGTAACGAAATCTCTGCAGTAGGGATTTTCGTTGATTTTTGGTATTGCCACTTTTTGGGGCAGTTGCCGTAGCAGTAGCAGTTCCAAAGCCAAGTTGCACGATGTGCTGGGTGGGCGCTCTCAACATCATTCACTGTCACTTTTTTTCACTCTTTTCACTTTTTAGTCACTGCTACTAGCTCTTATTTTGGCTATAATCTTTATAATCTTATTCAGTTTGATCGTTTCTTCCATCTTTCACTCTTTCTCAAGTCGAACTTTCTTCTGCTAAGCAGAAAAATAAGAAACAAAAAAATTAACAATAAAATATCAACAAATAGGGGTATTTAAGCTTTAAGGCGAACTTTCAACTTTGTTGGCCATTTTCGCTTTTGGCCAAGTTTCTGTGGTGGTGCTGGTGATTTACTGTGAAAATTTTCCATCAAGAATTGAAACACGCGACTTGGTCTAATCCCTATGATTGGTAACAGATTGTAGAGTCTAAGAATAGCTAGAAGTTGGAGGTCTTTAAGTTGACGAAAGGCCTAATTCGAAGCTAATCCCCACCAGATTTTGTAATAAATTCTCTTCAAACAGGCCCCCAAAAATAATCCAATCCCACTCATCACACTTCTTTAGCTTGAGGTTTATATATAATTCTATATATCTATGTATGTGCTGTAGTATTTCTCTATATCGCTTGAGTTTCTAGATTCCAAAAATAAAATAATACATATTTTTTGCAATGTTGGAAGCTAAACACCCCTTACATATATGTTAAAAATGAATTATAATTCAATGCTGAACTGCTAATTTCTTGAGCTCTGACTTCATAATTAATGCAAATACCCAAGGGAACAACAAGCCTTGAGGCTTAAAAGTACAAATAAATAAATAAATAAAGAAAGAAGAGGTCTTTTTTTAAGGCACAAGTTGAGCCAAAAACCTTAAAAGAAAAAGAAAGTAAGAGGCGGCATCATCCAGCCAAGCTTACGCAATCTTTTGGGAGCTGGTCTGGTTTGGAGCTGGTAGTCTTGGAGGCCCAACAGAAACTGGAAAGGAGTCCCCCTCACCCGATAACCTTCACCCAAATACTGGCAAGTAATGGATGGGCTTAGGGGTCTTATCGGGAAAGGTCATTGCCAGCCAGAAACCTTCAGAATTCCGAATCCTAATCACTTTTGGAATTCCAAGCCAACATATCCGCCGGACACCCAAAATTATAAACCAAGCGATAGACTTATCTCCCTCCAGAATATATATTATATATGACACATGCTTCTTAGCATCTCGAAGCTTATTATGAGTATGCTGTAGAATTTCCCCGGCACATGACATAAGAGACTCAGACTTATCGTGGAACGACGTGACCGATGAGCCAAAAGCCCAGTGATTCAGTGCCAGATGACGACCAAGACCAAGGCAGTCAGAGATATCCACCAATATCTCAAGAAAAAAATGAAAAGAAAAAGGTGTGAAAAATGGAGTGGCCTTCCAATATTTTTCGACACCCAAGGGAGTAACAGACTTTCACATCTCGGGTTAGTACCCCCCCTTTAAAAATGTACCATAATCGAAAGTATAAGTCACTTCTTAACTTTCTACGATTTGCGAATTACAGGGCATAGTATTCTCAGATCAGCTTAGTCATGATCGTTAGAATTAAGTCAACCTGGCAACCATGAAAGCTTTCCAAGATTTGGGAGAGATTTTTTTTTTTTTGGGGAGGTGCTGGGGGTTACCTCCTCTAACCAGCAAAGTGGGAGGGGGTCTCAACACGCTTCGAGAATTTTAAAATGAAAGTTCGTGCCTGTTCACGGTTGACAAAGCATGCGGAAATCTTCAAGCTACAAGCTACAAGCTTCAAGCCGAGAAGAGACGATAAGACGATGGAATAAAACAAAAATAATTATATTATTTTAATGTGTTTTCTTCTGTGCTGGATTTTCCCTCTCTACCCTCCCCCTCCATCCATTTTCCGTGTTTATCCGAAGCAGCTGTCGTTTTCTAACTTGGCATTACTGTGAATTTTCAATTAAAGCCAAGTAGAGTTGCTAGTCTTGGCCATTCTCCTCCATTCCTTTTTCAATTCTTCTACAATGATGATGAAAGCTTTCTCTGCTGCCTAGTCTTGAAAGGGTTTCCAGCCAACCGAGAAGTGTCATGGAGTGGCAAGGTTATGCGCTGTGCATAAGCAATTAGCCTTGCGGTTTCCACTCTCGGATGATATACCTATAACCGGGTATATCACGATAGAGTCGTCTTTGGGGTCACATATATTACCAATACACGAGTGCCGCTAAGTGGAAATAAATGTGGAAATTGAATAAGTGCAACTATCTCGTTGTAACCCACTCGGGGTTCGTGTTCTGTTTTGGTATACGATAGTTAGTTTTTAATAAGGAACTATTAGAAGGTAGTTTTTTTTAACTATTGCAATTTTAGATCTATCAGGATCATTATAAAACTTTTAAATACTGGGTTCGGTGATATAATTTGGTATACAATATTGAATTTTTAGTTAGTAACTCTAAGCAACTAGTTTTTTTCTGAATCATATCCCCTAAGTCTTCCTATAAGAATATATAGCTCTATCTGCATCATTATAACCCTTTAAAGACTGGGTTCTTTGTTGAATTTTGGTATACGATATTTAGTTTTTATTATGAAACTATTAGCAACTAGTTATTTTAAGTTATCATAACTAGCCTTGTCTAGGTGACTATATAGATCTATCTGGATCATTATAACCCTTTTAAAGACTGTGTCCCGTGCCCTGTTTTGGTATACGATACTAAATTTTGAATAAGGAAACTCTAGCAACTATCTTTTCCTAGATTATTACAACATTCTCTTCCTAAATAGAATTTTACCCCTAACTACCCATTATAACCCTTTTATAAGACCGGGTTCCATGCTCTAATTTGGTAAACAATATATAGTTTTTAGTGAACAACCATTAGCCACCATCTCTGTCTGTATTATCAATTATTCCCCAATCAGATCCGTCGATTGGCCAAGCCCCCTTTCCCATTCAAGGGCTCGGCCCTGGAACAGAATGATAGATCGCTCAGTGCGGTCATGTGGATCATGGATCATGGATCATGGAGTATAGACTATGTGCAGCTGCTGCTGTTGCTGTTGCGATTGCAGCAATTTTCACACTCCGAAGGCCGCATACAATTGACTGATTAACGCCGATGCGAATGGTCTTGCAGCTGAAAGACAAAAGAAAACCGATCCGTGGATCGATGGGGATAGTGGTAGTAGTAGTAGTAGTAGTGTCCAAGTACGTGCAACAAGTAGTAGGAGGGGGGGCTTGGGGAGTTGCGATTGAAACGTTCAATTCGCGGCTGTCATCTAAAACGAGGCGAAACCGGAGCGATTGCAGAGCTGCGATGTTCTCACGGCGAGTTACACAAAACGCCGCACATCACGTTTCCAGCATTAATGGGTCTCTCCACTCCATACCACTTCACTTCACTATAGACCTGGCCAAGACAGACCGAATCCAACCATTCACGACGATGGCTCTCAGGTCTCAGGCTCTTGCCATAAACTTGTATTTGGCCCAAAACGTGAGAGAAATAAGAAAGGCCAAAAAAAAAACTGAAAATAAAATAAAAGCCAGGCCAAGAAGATACAAACTGAAATTACCAAAGAGAGAGAAACAATAAAAATAAATACATAGACCCAATTAAATCCGGACGGGGGTCTCCAAGTGTGAGTCGCGCTAATTAAGCAAATTAGTAAAAAATAAAACAAAATAAAAAATGAAAAATATGGAAAATTTGTGCTGCGGTCAGCGGCGCGTCTGCGTTACCCACTTTTGGATTTTTATTTTTTTTATTTTTTATTTTTATTTTTTGCCTCTCGGAGACTCGCATTGTCAACAACTCCACTACTGAAGCTTAAATCTGACCCATAAAATTTCCCACAAAATTATAGTAATTTTCGTTAACTCAATTTTGGATGAAATTATAGGAAAAGCCAACCAGCCAGCCAGCGGGCCAGCGGTGGGAGTCGATTGCAAAAGTAGCCGAAAATTGTTTCCCCGAGGCGGTCGCGGGAAAACTCTTCCAACAGTTTCCAGTTACCAGTGAAGATGCCGCTCTTTCTAGGGAGGAGGAAGGAGGAGGTAGTGGGGCATGCTGATCAAAGGGGCACAACCGCATAATTATAGTCCGCCGATGAGGCGGGTGGGCGGGTAACTGGACGACAGTTAAGGGGTCGGCCACTGGAGGCTCTCTAATGTGGTGGGAAGAGTATACGTAGTGGGGTTTTAACTTTTAGAAACTAGAGGGGGGCTTGGCACTGTAGAGTCTATAAGAACTATATGTTAAGTTCTATAGGTTATCTATAGGTTAGGCTTTAAGTATATATATATCTATAGATATAGGCTATAAGGCTATAAAGCAGGTTCCACTCCGTAATGGCCTCTATAAGATCTTAAAGTTCTATAAAAGACTGCAAGTTCTTTTATGACTTTTAGTCTTCTTTCAGAACTCATATTTAAGAGTTTTTTTTAACTTTTATAACAAATTTTTATCAAACAAATTAATAAAAAATAACATTTTTGTTTAATTTTTTAAAAGTTATACCATTATGTCTTTATAAGATCATATTCCAAATAAGACATGTCTATAAGACATAATTTTTAGATACTATTTCTTATATTTTTTATTCCTGGTCTGTTGCTTTGGAGCTACTTGAATCTCTACCTTAAAATAACTAAAGTTCACCATCTATTGGTATCTTTATCTCAAACTTGTATCTATATTTTGTCAAAAAAATAATGCCTTTAAGAAAAATCTATAGCATACCGTTCCATATATTATTATACTATATCTATGAATAATATAAACGTCATATATAACTCCTACTTTGACTATATTCTAATCAAGTCCTATAAGTATCTGTACTGTTCGCCTTATAACTCTATTACCCAAAAATATAATCTCTATATTGTCTTAAAAATTATATTTTGATAAAAATCTATACTCCATACTGTTCTCTAGTTATATCATGTCTATAACCCCTTGATTTCCTACTTCTATTTTGTTTATTTCCCTATCTAAGTTCTAATCCCATCTCTCCTACCATCACTTCCTCTTCCTTTTTATTGTAGTTCCACTGTAGTGTTTAACATAAAAATGCGCATAATTCCAATGATGAGCTACGAACTCTGCTCTGAGATGCATTGGAAACTTCCTCCTTAAAACATTTCAGCCCCAACGCTGTTCAAAATGCACAAAATGTAGTCGGCCATGTTAACAAGATACACGAAC